TTCAGAAATTGTGCTGGAGCCAACCAAAAGAATAAGAACTGACACTAAAAAAACTTTTAGAAGCACGGGAACATAGGGCTAGGTGAAGATTTAAAATTGACATCAAAAGCCTGATTTATTAAAGGAAAAATTAACAAATTGGTTTTCATCAAAATTTAAAACTTATGCTTTGTGAAAGATCCATTAAGAAGACAAAAAACAAGCTATAGATGGGAAAAATATTTGCAAGCCACATCTTTGACAGAGGACTTGTATCTAGAATATAAAAAGACCTCACTAAATCTCAACATTTAAACGATGACAAACAATTTAATTAGATATAGTTAAAGTGACATAGCAAAAGTTGTGTGAACAGACATCTTGCTGATGGGTAGCCACCTGTGCCATTCACTGGATCATTCATGCTCCATAGCATCTCCCAGACACTTTCACTCATAAGGTTACCTTAACTTTTATCTCTTCATTGCAAGATTTCCCCAAACTCTTAATAGCTGAATTTAGACAATAAATAAATAAATAACACTAACAAAAACCAACAACAAAGCAAAAACAAAACAGGTAAAGAAGTTTAGTGCAGGAACTTAAAAGATTACAATAGCAACTGTCAGGAGAGCATGTTGTCTGCTTGACCAGGAGCTCAGGGAGTAGGAGTGATATGATGTTCATCCTGCAAAGTTAGCTGAAGTATCAGGGAATCTTCTTTCTTACGTAACTGAGATTTGGGATATAAAGCCAACAGAAATCAGGGGACACAGAAAGCTCACCAGTAAGCACAGATTTGTATCATCCACTCAGCCTCAACAAACTTTTAGTTACAACTAAGACATCAGGCAACTGGGTTCAAACCTCACCTGCAGTAGTTTAACCTGCAAAGATTCATCTTCAGGTAGCATATGCTGTTGAATCCTGGGGAATCTATTCATATCTGAATAGTCTCGCCAAGGCACTATATCTTCAACAGTGGGAAAACCCTAACTCCTTCCTTCTTGACTACAACTTAGGCAAGAACATGTGCTGCCTGTCAAGTCTCATCACAAATCCTATCCAGTCCTATCTGAATGCATCTGTCTTTCTTCTGAAAAGGCATTGTAATCTTACTAGCTTCATATTTGGCACCAAATTGTCAAGAAAGGGCTGGCATACAGTCAAGTGTTGCTTACAAAAGGGATACATTTCAAGAAATGCATTGTTCGGCAATTTCATCATTGTGCAAGCTTCTTAGAGTGCACTTACACAAACCTAGTGGTATAACCTACTATACACCTAAGCTATAGAGTATGGCCAATTGCTCCTAGGCTACAAACCTGTACAGTATGTGATTATACTGAATATTATAGGCAATTATAACCCAATAATAGGTATTTGAGGATGTAAACATAGAAAAGGTACTGCAAAAACATTATAATCTTGTAGGACCACTATTGTACATGCAGTCATTGACCGAAATGTTATGTGGCACATGACTGTATTTGGTTAGTAAAGAAACAAGCCCTTTTTGAATTAAAACACTTGTTTTGTTTTTTGAAGCAGTTTAAAAAATTGATAAAGATAACAAAAGCAGGAATACAAAATGTGCCAGCTCTCTGCTTTTTTCCACAGGATGGCACCAAAAGAGTTCACATGGTGGAATGTCTTGCTGAGGAGCTGACATGCTACAGATAAACAGTTTTATAGCTTGCAGTTATACCTTAAATGGGGAGAGGTAGAACACCCCATTCCTCATCAGAGATTATCTCATGACAACCTCCATTAGTAGATAGGGAGATGGCCTGGTAACAGCTCCTCACAAAACCTGCCAAGCACTCATGTTCTAGGTGAGAGGAAGGGCCTAGACTAGTTGGTGTTAAATCCCAGTCTATGTGGAACCTATGAAGACATGCAAGATGCCAGGCAGCCATGGTACAGTCATTCCCATGAAGAAAGAAAAACCTATTAAGTTGATGACAAAATGAGGACAGAAATGGATAAAATATCATAGGTTAGAAGACAGAAGAAAGTTTAATTTCTACTGTCTTCAAGGGCAGAGGTAATATCTTGTTTATCTTAGCACCTGACCTGATGTAGTCAGGTTTGCTGAATGGTTGGTTATAAACAAATTTGTTTAGATAAGGGGAAGACTTTGCCAGCCCGGGCAACTTGGTGAGACCTCATCTCTATAATAAAATAAAATTTAAAAAATTTAAAAAATAGCACGTGTCTGTAGTTCTGGCTACTCATAAGGCTGAAGCAGAAGGATTGCTGGAGCCCAAGAAGGTTGACGCCGGGGTGGCCGTGAGCATATGTGCCACTGCACCCCAGCCTGGGCGAAGGAGTGAGACTCTAATTCAAAAAACAAAAAACAAAAACAAAGGGTGAAGATTTTTATTTCTGGAAATATAAACATGAATACTTTGGTCTCTAGCACTGAGTGCCAGGAGTTTTTATGTTAATAATACAAAAAAAATCAAAACAAAACAAACAAGTAGAACCAGCCAATTTTCAGAATCATTCAACAGGATTCTTGATGCTGAAGATACAATGGTGATACCGTTGTTTATCTCTTGTCTCTCAGTCTCGTACCAACCCTTTCCTATCCTGATCTGTGAGCAGGATAGGGAAGCTACAAACATCATTTCCCAGGCTCCTACTGCCAAGTGAAAACTTGATCAAAAGAGGGAAGCATGGTTAACAATTTGAATGCTTTACTGAAACTGTAATACTGTAATACTGCACTGTAGTTTTAATACTAAAACTATGTTATAAAGGTTAATTTTATGTGCCAACTTGACTGGGCCCCAAGGTACCAGATATTTGGCCAAATATCATTCTGTGTCTGTGAGGGTACTTTTATATGAGATGAACATTTTAATCACTAGACTAGGTAAGGCAGATTGCTCTCCCTAATGTAGGTGGCCCTCCCTCAAGGGATACTCTTCCTGTCTTGAGCAGGGACATGAGTCTTTTTTGGCCTTTAAAAAAATGAAACATGAAACAGTGGCTCTTCTTGGGTCTCAAACCTGTTGGTTTTTAGACTGGAGCTTACATCATTAGCTCTTCTAGGTCTTTTACTTGCAGACAGTAGAACTTTGGACTTCTCAGCCTCCGAAATCATATAACCCAATTCCTTTTAATAAATAAATATATATACACACATGTATTTATAAGTATACATATACAAACATACATATACATTCCTATTGATTCTATTTATCTGGAAAATCCTGACTAATATATGTTCAGAAAGTTTGGAAATCATGCAATGCACTTTTATCAATTTAAGAATTCACTCAAAGTAGCCATAAGCTTTATTACTGTAATTCAAATAATTTACATTAGGATTTATTAGATTTGTCTTTTAGATCCCCCAAATGTTGAAATACCAAGTCTTAGAAACTGGCATAAAAACAAGGACTTGGATAGAACTGTAAAGGAGTTTGGACGATGACTCAATTCCTAATAAACAAAACACATAGAGGACAGACTATCACAGTGGTGAAATCATTCATTGTAAAAGGTAAACAGAAAATCTCACTATATTAGTCTTAGATTGATGTTACATAAATATCAAAGAGATTGCTGGTGCCAGAAACCAAGTAAGACATGTGAGTAGATGCAATATTGAAAGCATCTACACAATAAGAGTTTGCAGGAAAGTGCTCATCCTGAAATACTTTTGTAGAAACAACTTCAATTGATATATACATAATAAACACTATTTGTATAATGCTAACTAAAAGTTTTCTCACTTGAACTTACAAGACTGAAATTTTGACTATCATGATGGAAAAAAAAAAAAAGATGTCCTACAAAGTGTGTTTAATGAAAAGCAGATAGTCTAAGGAGTTAAATTAATGGTTAACATTTTCATCATGAATAATTGAGAAGCTTTTACCACACAGGTGATTTGGGAATCAATGTATAAGAATACTAGGAAATGTGAACTTAGCAGGAATAAGTTTTGATGCAGTTTACTAAACAGGGTGAGTTGGGTGGTAGGGCAGGGCAGGATAGTGTCTGTAGCTTTAGAAGGCATTGGTTAGGTTCAAGAGTACTAAAAGGTGAGAACTAAGATGCTGAGCATTAGAAAAGTTATTTATTTATTTATTTGAGTTGTGGTCTCAGTCTCTCGCCCAGGCTGAGTGCAGTGGCATGCTCATAGCACCCCAGCATCAACCCGCTGGGCTCGGGCAATCCTTCCACTTCAGCTCTCCAAGTAGCTAGAATTACAGGTGTGTGCTACTGCACCTGGCTAATTTTTTTTTTAAATTTTTTGTAGAGACGAGGTCTCGCCAAGTTGCCTGGGCTGGTCTCGAACCCATGGGCTCAGGCAATTCACTCACCTCGGCCTCCCAAAGTGCTGAGATTACAGGTTGAGCCACTGAGCCCAGTCCATGTTATTCTGACTTGATAACTGATTTTCACACTGCCTGAATAGGACAGTTTTCTCCCTAAAGAGTAACAAAATTAACAGCAGGGAAATATTAAAGAATGGAATTCTATAGATGGCATACATTCAGTGATTTAATGATAAAGAAGCTATTTAAGGCATTGCACTATATTTCCTAGTCTGGTAAAGAAATATGGATTCTTTCTATTACAGTAACTTCATGCTCACCTCTTCTCTGTCAATCTTATGTACTTGGGAAAAAATGTACTAGGTTGACTCACAATCTAGGACCTCAGAGACAAGCAAAAATGGCCTTGGTGAGAAGTTTCTCAGAGATTTAGATAACATCAGATTTCAGAGCTATAAGGTAAACTCACTGGGACACTTAATAAATATTTATTAGCACCTGTATACAAGGCACAGAGAGAGGAATGTAAACCTGGGAACCTCACCAAGTAGCCAGTCTGGGTGAGAACAAACCATTTCAGGTCTTACTTCTTCCAGACAACTCTCCCATAGCCTCCTATCAAATAAGTTTTTTCCCCCAATCACTTTCTAGGATGTGGGAAAAATTCATCTCAGCCAGACTCTGTGTAGTGGTAAATAAAGCCACAGCCCACAATTTCTATAGTCAGGGCTCCAGGGTAGCTTCAGTTTAATGAGTAATGAGCATCAATTTTGGCATGTATGGAACAGGTCAGCATCATAAAATTTTTTTTTCCCAACATGGCTTCTCTGATGTTGAACAAGGTATGAAGTTCGGGTGAAGCCTTTTCCACAAGTGTCACACTGATAGGGTTTCTCACCAGTGTGGATTTTTTGATGTTCAATAAGGCCTGTATTTTGAGTGAAACTTCTCTCACATTCATTACATTTGTAAGATATAGGAGCCTCAACATTCTGCCACTGGCTTTCTGTCCTACCCTGACCTTCCCAGGCTTCTCCATGCTCAGGTTCCTGAACACTTTTATCCCCAGTATGGATCCTCTGATGTCTCAGGAGATGTGAACTCCGCCTAAAGGCTTTGCCGCACACGTTGCACTGGTATGGCTTCTCTCCAGTATGGATTCGATGATGTTCAAGGAGGCTGCAGCTCTGGCTGAAGGTCTTCCCACAGTCATCACACTCATAAGGCTTCTCCCCGGTGTGGGTTCTCTGGTGTTTGATAAGGTCCGAGCTGTGACTGAAGGCCTTGCCACATTCTTCACACTCGTATGGCTTCTCACCAGTGTGAACTCTCTGATGAATGACAAGGGCAGAGCTCCCGATGAAGGCCTTGCCACACTCCTCACATTCATAAGGCTTCTCACCAGTGTGGATTCTCCTGTGCTTACTCAGGCCTGAACTCTGAGCAAAACTCTTTCCACATTCATGGCAAATGTGCCGCCTCCCCACTGTTTTCTGTTTTCTTTGTAACCTGCCCTCCTGTTCACCAGCTTCTACACACGTAGGAGTCTGGGTAATGTCTTCACCCAGGTGGTACAGTATGTGCCCAGGCTCTTTTTCTGGAAGTTCCTCCGCTGGAGGTAAGTCCCTCACCTTAGTCTGTATTTCACCACCTGAAACAACAAATGCCCAGCAACTGTCAATTAATCCCTGCCATAGGAGGAAAGCTCTGTGATAAATACCAGGCAGGCAAGGATTACACAGGTACATATATGCCAGGGATGAGGATTTAAGTGCAAGGATGAAGATGGGAACAAAGGGGGCAAACAAGAGTGCTGGTGAGGAGGGAGACCTGAGAACGGGAATGAAACCATTATAAAGGTACATGCTGGGAATGGAGGGAGTGAAGGGAAAGTGGTGAGAACTGAGAACTATGCTGAGGGTACATGTGGTGGCTCCAAGCCCTAAGAATAGTAAGGCAGGGCCACACAGTTTTGGTTAGATACTAAAAGGGTAACAGTAAACAGGGTAAATGGAAGGGTTTCTGAAGCATCTGCAAGAAACAGTGAAAGTAGAGACTCAGAAATGAGTCACTGATCAATGATATAGGCAATTGTCTCTGCTCTTGCCTCAGGGAGGCAGGATCACTAAACAGAACTGGCTTCGGTGCTGGGAGTTATGCGCTACCCATGAGCTTTGTGACCTCAGACAAGTCAGGCAATCTTCTGTGCCTCTGCACCCTCATCTCCGAGGTCAAGGTCTGTGGTCGATGTCTGAGGACACTTGTACCTCTCATACTCTAAGGCCCCGACGCCCATGTCCCAAAGAGGCTTTGTAGACAAGGCTAGGAACGGGAGGAAATCAACACTTACTGAGCATCTCCTATGAGCTAGACCTGTACTAAAGACTATGTCTATTTCATCCTACTTAACCTAACAAGAACACTGGCAGGACAGAGAAGAAAGCAAGGTCAGAAGAGGTAAGGAGCTAGTCAGTAATAGGTTTTCAGAAGTGGTGATTCTGAACCCAAACATAAGAGGGCTCAACAGTTTCTTACAAAAGTTCTAATACACAAAGGATGCCAAGAAACTGTAAGAGAAATCAGTGCCTATCAGTCTTACCCGGGGAGGCCAGGCTGCCATGGTTCTCCTGCTTTTCATCTCTGTAGAGGTTCACCTGAGATGAATCCTGCTGTGTCCACTCAGGAATGAGGGTCAGGGCCACATCTTCCTTTTTCAGCAACCCCTAAAACAATAGGTAATCCCACTGAAGAAGGGACTGACCAAAAAGATGGAGTAGGAAAGATCTGGGAAGCACAGATAGCCCTCTCAAGCTAGTATAAAACCTCTTAAGTGAGCATCTAAATGAAATCAGGTGGGACAGATGAGAAAACTCAAATCCATCTGAGATCTGTGCAGAGGACCTAGGATGCGGATAGAGGGGGACTGGGAAGGGAGGAGTCTTCACAGGAAGCTCAACAGTAGTAAAGAGTGTTGAGGGAGGGAGAGGGGCTCTAGCTCACCTGGGACTCTGGAGCGAGCCTGGCAGCTACCATTTTGTCTTCTCTGCAGCACCCTCCTTGGGCAAGCCCGGGAACCTGGAGAACTAAGAAGGAAAGAAACTCTGACGAGACCTACCCTGGCATTCAGCCTCCTGCCTTGTGTCATCTAAGTTCAAAAGCTGGATTTATAAATTCCTGCCAAATAAGTTTATACAGAGCATGTTCCTTTCCAAAATGCTTGATCCCTGCCAACTCATCCTGGGACCTGAAGATATCTGATGTGCTCTGTAGATATATGAAAACCATTCAAAAAGGCAGGATCTTAGTTAGCAGTGGTGAAATGAAAGGAACATAAAAACAACTAAGCTTTCCATTTGAAGATCCTTTAAATTTTCCTAGGGAGGGGGAAAAAATAGGATTTTTGGTTTAATATGCTTTAGTAGTTAAGATGCTTTTGGCTTTGGTGTTGAAAAGCTAAGGGGTCAAACAAGGCTTGGCCTAGAAAGACAGAACTAGCAATCTGTATAGAACTTGCTCGGATTCAAGAGCAACAAAAGTAAAGAACTTCAGGTTTCCTTATAAAACAATCAAACTTTAAAAGGGCACAGAACAGGTCTCCTGGTGCCTGTGTATCAAGCTTGGGTCCCAGCTCCACCACTTCATGTCCTGCTCTCTAGGAGGCCCAAGTGGCTCTGCCACAGCCTCTATTTCTTTGTGACCTGCAGGTTCTGTGAGGTCCATAAGACTCCAAAACACCTGGAAGCTAAGAAATGACTATTTCACTTGAGACGGAATCCCAGAGTAGGAGGAATAAGAGGAAGAAATGACTGGTTCTCAGTGAATTTGTCCTAGGAACTGTTGACATTCAAGGATGTAGCCATAGAATTCTCTCTGGAAGTGAAATGCCTGGACTCTGCTCAACAGAATTTTTATAGGAATGTGATAATTGAGAACTACAGAAACCTGGTCTCTGTGGGTCTCACTATCTCTAAGGTGGACATGATCATCTGGTACAAAGCAAAGAGCTCTGGAATGTGAAGAGACAGGAGACAGTGGTCAAACGACCAGGGGCATCTTCTTTCCCATGCTCTTAAATTCTGAGAACTCTAATTCCCTTTCAGTGATTTTACTTGAGTTTACAGTGAGAGTCAAAGTCCTCTTCATGATTTATAAGAGACTACATGATCTAACTGCTCTTCCATCGCTTTTGAGGACACAGGACTATCTGCATATTTTTGAGAAACTCTATGTTAAGCCATTTTTAATTCCTTTTTTTGCAGCTTGTCTGAAACATGTGACAGTAGTGGAGATACTGGGATTTGGTTCAGAAATCCTAGGAAAACCACAAGTAGATGTTATATGTTTTCAGCTTTATGATTTCTTATCTTATGAAGGTTTCAAATGGGATTCTACAGAAATTCATACTCAACAGTTTTATCAGAACACAAAGTATCTCCCTAGATGTAAGAAAATCTAATGTTATTTTAATATTTAATTTTTAAAGTATACACTGAGATTGGTAATTTAAACTCTGTCCAAATTCCTCAACTGTTAATATAGCTAAACGTACCTACTCACTATACAGAGTGTGCCAAAAGAAAAGTATACACATTTTAAGAAAGAAAAATATATACTGGTAACAAAAGAGGAATACAAGGCACATTTGACTTCTGTGATTACAAGAGGAGCTCAAAGTGGTTACCAACACTTGAATGGCCAGACACTTCTGATTACGGCGAACTAAAAGTAGTACATAGATAACATGTCTTAAAATGTGTATACATTTTTTTGGCACATCCAGTATTTCTCAAATATATTTATATCTAACTGGGGAGGTTAAAACATTGCTGAGCATATATTAAACCCACATGTGTGAACTTATTTTACAATTTTATCTTGTTTAGTATGAAGTTTACCTGGACAGCCCTATTTATACACACACATATGTACATATTTGTATATATGCATATACAAATATGTATGTATGGGTGAAATGTGAACTGTTTTCACAAATAAAAATTGTATAACTACATTTTAAAAGGCACAAAACAGGTGGTTTAGGCCAGAACCTCTGTTGAAAAATAAAGATTAAATGTTGGCTGGAGTATCCCAGTACTGTGTGCCTTGAGAACTTAACATGTATGGAGAGCACATAAGAGGACACCTGAGAACACAGTCATTTCCTATGGATTTTAATAACAGACATAGAATTTAGAAGATTTAAACATTTAACCTGCAATAGTCCTACAGTCTATGAGATAGTCTGGTTGGCTTTACAGATTCTGTTTCTTTTCTTCATAAAACTTAACCACTATCTGAAATTGTATTGTTAATGTGCTTATTTGCCATCTTCCCCACTCGAATGCAAGCTCCTTTGGGGCAAGGACTGTCTCCCTGACAGCTCTGTCCCTAGTGCCAACAACACTGGCCACCACATTGAAGGCCTCCATAATAATGTGTTAAAAGAATAGAGAGCCAATTCTTTCCAAGCCCCAATTTTAGCAAAACCTTATTTATTATGTCTTGTCTTGGCTGGGAAAGCTTCCCACCATTATGTTTGAAATTTCCCCGTTAGTCTCTGTCTTAAATTAGAGTTGATATGTGATGGGTATATAAAGCACCTGTACGGAATCTTATAGGCGATCTTTATATGATATGAGATGAAGTCTGTAGAATTCATACAGCCCAGAAGACAATTCTCACCTCTGTCTTGTAAGGGCTGGAATCCCAGAGATTCATGCTTGAGCAGAGACTTCATTGGCAGGAACTGGCTACTTTCTGACCCCTGGGCTGGTGTCAACAGTGCCATCTTACAACAGAGCAGTTCTTGCCCCTGGTCACCACCTGGGACCTACAAGTTATTTATTTTTATTTTCATTTATTCCTCAAACACTTCTACAGCACCCCATCTATGAGTGTGGCATTATTTCCAAGAGAATGAAAAATATTAACTCATTTAACACAGACAACAAGCTTATAAGGGAGGTATTATTATTATTATCCCATTTTACTGATGGGGAAACTTAGGCACTATCAGTTTAAGCAGCTAATAAGTGATAATGCTAGGATGGGAGCTTAGGCAGAATGACTCCAGAGCCATTTATTTATTTATTTTTGAGAAAGGGTCTTGCTCTGTTGCCCAGGCTGAAGTGCAGTGGCACAATCATAGCTCACTGCAGCCTTGAACTCCTGGGCTCTAGCAATTCTCCTGCCCCGTTCTCCTGAGTAAACTACCAGCAAGTAACTACAGGTGTGTGCCATCTTTCCTGACTGATTTTTTAATTTTTTGTAGAGATGGGGGTCTCACTATGTTGCCCTGACTGATTCAGAACTCCTGGCCTGAAGGGATTCTCCCACCTTAGCCTCTCCAAGTGTTACGATTATAAGCATGAGCTACCACTCCCAGCCTAAGTCCATGCTTTTAATCATCACTCTATGCCCCTACATATATACATTTGTGACTTTGTGAAAACCCTTTTGAAACTGGTGATAAAGTATTAGAGAATACTAATACCTTTAATTATCTGAAAATAAGGATACTAATTTCTAATTTATGAGATTGTGGGGACCAGTAAATGAGATCTGAGTATGTGAAATCACAACACAAGACCTGGCACATAGTATGTCCTTATTAAATGCAAGCTCCTTCAAGACAGTGATAGTTAAATAACAGTTTTCAAGTTACTTTCTCATGTGCAGCTCAGAATTTCCAACATCCTTTACAAAGAATGAAACTAAGAGATCTGTAATGACTTTTCACTGTTACAGAGCTCGGGTGCAATAAGTCTAAATCAAGAACCATGGTCTCCTGCTCACTGGTTAAAAGGCTCTAGCCATATGTCCTCTAAGAGAATGTACACAAGTACACAGGTTGATGCAAAGAGGAAACAGTCTCATAAAACAGGAAAGATGGAGGTAAAAATCGGCCCATTTTCTAGCAGAGGTTCATAACCAGTGGTCCATGGACTCCCTCCCAAGTGGTCCATGAGCTTGGAGAGGAAAAAACTATTATTATTTTTACTAGCCTCTAAGAGAAATGTATAACTTCTCTCAAATATTAATAGAAGCAACAAAACTATGTTGGCATAAACAGTACCCAGGGCTTTATCCACAATAGAAACTGCAGATGTTTTCTCATCACATTAAAACCAGGAGAATATTGTCAGTCATTCATGTTTATCACCACTTGGAAATTGCCAGGTATAAGTTGCCCCTAGGTCATATTATTTGGTGAACGAATAAACAGCACACATGTAACTTTGCTAACTGCTACTTTCTGCATTTTGATATGACGGAGTTCTTTTGTAACTTTATGATTTCCTTTATGTATTTAAAAATATTATTCTGAGAAAGAGTCCAGGGACTTCCCCTTACTGCCAAAGAGGTTCAGGGTACAAAAAGAGATGGAGAACTCCTGGATCTTAAAGGAATGCCCCTCACTCCGATATTGAGAATTCAGGAAAAAACAGACCACAGCTCTCGATACCAAACCTGTTCTTTCTACCTGCGGCGTCGGCTCATCCAGCTGCCTCTCCAAATACTCCAACAGCACCACCACCTCCTCCCCGCTCTCTGGGTGCTGCTCCCGCACCCAGCTCTGCAGGTCCCCCGGCAGGATGGTCAGGAACTGCTCCAGCACCAGCAGCTCCAGCATCTGCTCCTTGCTGTGTATGTCAGGCCGCAGCCACTGCCGGCAGAGCTCCCGGAGCCGGCTCAGCGCCTCGCGGGGGCCTGCAGCCTCCGGGTACCGGAAGCCTCGGAAGCGCTGGCGGGAGCACTCAGAACCCACAGCTGGGCTGTGGGGCAAACTGGCCTCTTCCTCCTCCACCTTTATGACCAGAAGCCCCATCTGGTCCTCTGCAGCGTGGGCGTCCAGGGGTGCGCTTTCCCTTGGTTCTCTAGCCATCCTGCACCAAGGCAGTACTTGGGTCTCACTCTAGCTGTACTTCTGCAGAAGATTCCTAAAAGGTGGGAAATCACTATTAACCAGTGAACTTGAAGCGTCCTCTGCCCAGGGGCATCTTCAGGGAGCAGCTGCAGATAAATTTCCTTCCTGCTTTCAAGTACCTTTGCTGCTTCATTCTCTACACCACCTCAAACCTGAATACCACAAGAAGCTTCCTAAAGGATGTCCTGGACACCCACTGACACCTCCCCAATCTGGAGAGAAAGTGGGACTGGTGGAAGACCCAGGCCCCTTCACGGACTCTCTAGGAAGCCCCTCTCAGTGACTGGCTCAGAGTTATCCCATTAGCAACCAGGTCCATGATTGCCTGAATTCTATGATGATCCTAAAGATTTCCTGTGCTAACCCCCAGGACTTTAAATATGATGAGACAGGATGCCCAGAATGATTGGACTGATCACAAGGAAATGAATTCTACCCAGAATCTCAGTGAGCTTGTAAGTAGATTCCTCCAGATAAGAGCCCTGCCCTACCAACAGATTGGCTTTGGCCTGGGAAGACCTTAAATGGAAAACTCAGCTGAGCCTGCCTGGCATTCTGACCTACAGAACAGGAAATAATAACTAGGTTTTATTTTAAGTCGATATGTTTGAGGTAAATTGTTATACCTCAATAGGAAGTTAGTACCATCAGGCCTCCATATCTGTGGGTTCCACATCCAGGAATTCAACTGACCACAAATCAATGAAAAATAAAACAATTTTAAAAACATACAGTATAACAACTATTTACATAGCATTTATATTGCATTCGGTATTCGAAGTAATCTAAAATGATTTAAAGTATACAGGAGGATGTACGTAGGTTATATGCAAATACACCATTTTATATAAGAGACCTGAGAATTTGTAAATTTTGGTATCTGTGAGGTGATCCTGGAACCAAGCCCCCATGAATACCAAGACCTGAAAGTGCTCAATAAAACCAGTATTTGTGCATCTTTGTTCTCTTTAAAACTTTGTCTATCATGCTGGGCTATGAGTTTCTTGAAAGCAACTCTGTCCTTAGCTTACTCATTTTAGTATTCCCCAGGTATATACATAGTAAGCACAGAATAAGTTGGTTGTTTTTTTAAGTGAAAGGATGAATGAATGCAAAAGCATTGGGCGAACACTTATTTCTGTAAAGTCTGGTTTTCAACTTCAGTACTATTTTGGGCAGTATTAATTCTATGTTATGGGGAACAGAGGGAGTTGTCCTGTAAATATTAGGGTATTTAGCGGCATCCCTGGCCTCTATCACTTGATAGCATGACCCCTAGCCATGGGGATCAAAAAAAATTTCCACTGACCAACCTCTCCCCATCCTTTCCTCTTCTTCTCCCATCCAGTCTCTGATAACCACAGTTCTCTCTGCTTCTATGATATCAACTTTTTTTTTTTAATTTCACGTATGAGTGAGATCATGTGGGTATTTGTCTTTCTGTGTCTGGTTAAGAGTAAAGTAATGTATTATTACAAAACAGAAGAAACGTTTTTAAATGTTCTTACCACAAAGAAATAGTAAATGCATAAAGTGATGGCGACACTAAATGTCCTTATTTGATCATTATATATGTATCAAAACATCAAATTGTACCCCATTACAGTGTGTCAATTATAAAAAATCTGTAGACATTGCTAAATTTTACCTTGAGGGCTTAAAACCTCTGCTATAAAGAGTGAAAATGTGAAGTACTGAATTACAAAATCTGCTGATAAGGCTTATGGCGAACACAGAGACCAGAGTATGGTGTCATCTGGCTGGTAAGGGCATAGGTTGTTTCAGGAATCACAGGGACGCCTAAGTTTCCTATAGTTGGACACCAGGCAGACAGGGCTGTGGGTCTATGTCCCCTGTGGACATGTCTGGTGGGACATACAGGGTGTCCTGTTGAGTAAAGGGAGGGATGCCCTACCCTTCCCTCACTGTGGTCTCAGAAGTTAGAAAGCTGGAGACATAAGTGACAAATGGGCATTCAGAGGCTGCCTAATATGCTTCGCAGGAGGGCTGGCAGTATGCATAATTGATGCCAGATCCAGGCTGCATAAATTACCACATGTTGTCATTACAATATTGGCACTGGAATAAGCCTGGATTCAAATCCCACCTCTGCCACTATTAGCTATGTGACCTTGTACATACTACTTATTAACTACTCAGTGTCTCAGTTTCTCACACGTTATTCCCTCTCTTCACAGGTGTTCTCAGAAGGCATGAGACTTGGGCATGCCCTAAGAGGGAAGAGAGAAGATGCCATTGAACCATATGAGACTAAACCAAAAGTGACTGTAAAGTTATTTGATTGGGTTTTATCAGTAAGTCCCTCTTTACTTAGTGGAATGGAAAGGCTAGAAAATGTAAGGATGGTAAAGGTTACTAATAGAAAAACAATTCTGAATCTATACCTTTGTGAGTTTCTATTCCTCAATCCAATTCTTTATAGTTTAAAGGACGGCAGGGAATGGATGGAATTTAGGAAGCAAAAAGACCCCATCAACTGTTACAAATGAAAAGTAACAGAAAATACTTCTTTCTAATAAGCAGCCACAAGACATCTGGGCCATTACATAAGCTAATAATACCAAAATAAGTGAGCCTAAATCTAATTAAGTCTTTAGAGCTAAATACCAATGTACAGGTGAGATACAGGAGTAATTTACATTAAAGTTTTTCAAGCTTTGCTATACATTAGAATCACTGGAAAGTTTCTTAAAACATCTTAACACCTTGGTTACAACCAAGATCAATGAAATCAGTCTCTGGGTGTGGGACTCAGGTACTGATAACTTTGAAGACTTTCTAGGTGATTCTAATGTACAGCTTAGTTTAGAATAAGTTAAAGACATTTAAAAAAGCAATTGGTCAGATCCAGAGTGTGAGACATTTTATAAAACAGAAGGTCCAAATTATTCAACAAAAAAAGACATTTTTATAAAAAGAAGGGGGCGGGAAGTGAAATTGTTATAGACTAAGAGACTGAATAGACTTATCAATCAAATGCAAATGATAAGCCATATTTGGACTCTATTAAAAAAATTGTAAAAAGACATTTTTGAGATGATTAGCAAAACAACAAATTTATTGAATGTGATAATGATATATGGGTATGTTAAGATAAAGGTTTCTATGTAAGAAATTAACACTGAAGTACTTGCACATATGGGTGAACTAATAATGTTTTCATCTGTGAGTTGCTGTAAAATGAAAGGGGGGAGGAGGGAGGGAATAAGAAAAAAGAAACAGGAGAGGAAGGAAGGGAAGAAAGAGAAAGAGAGAGGAGGAGGAAAGGCAAAAAAGGAAAGAAGGAAGAGGGAAGGAAGGAAAGAAGAAAGGAGAGAGGGGGAAAAGGAAAGAAAAGAGAGGGAAAGGGAAGGAAAAGAAGAATGAAAGAAAAGGATCAAAAAATGATGGTTGAAGTTGAGTGATGGGATATTGGGGGTCACTGTACTATTTTCTCCACACTTAAATATGTCTGAAATCCCCCCCATTTTAGAAAATTAAAACTAAGTCCTACCTTTTTCCTTCTTGAATAAAACAGTCCAAAAGCATTAAGGTGAGGTCAAGGAAGGTGAGAGGGCCACAGACCATCTCAGAGTGAATTTGAAGCCCGAGGAGAGAGGAGGGTATCTACAGAGGAGGAGGAGGAGAATACGGCAGGAAAACTCATTATGATAAATTATAACCATCTATCTATTACACAGACCTCATTCAGGTTTCAATACCTGTCCTATTTGGTTTCTAAACCCAACTGACAGAGTGAGAAGACACGGGACTGGGAAACTGGTTGCAAATTAGTAAATATATCAAATTGTAAATATACTGAAGATAATGAAAGCAAGGTTTCTCATGATCAGAAAAGAGTTACAAATACAGAAAAGAGAACCTTAGAGTGAATCCTGTAAATGTTGAGTTGAAATGAAGGGTATTAAGTATGAACAGATAGATTACGTAGATAAGAGAGATGTTGTAACACCAGGGGTCCTAGTCCTTTTTCACTACTAAAAACCTCTCTTGTTCTTCCTAATCTCCAGCTAGGAAAAGATATTCCCAAATCTTAAAGATTTTGGGAGCTTCAGGATCACAACACAGAACACAAAACAGTTTAGGTCTCTGCTTTGGGACAGGTTCTTTTTCAGAATGTCTTACTTTTCCCTCCTAAAAAAATATCAATAATCCATTACAAAAAGAGCTTATGAATAACACTAAAATTCAGAGAAACAGTAACAAAAGCCAGTCACCATGACTACTCATTAAAGATCATGTGCTGTCATAGAAATAATAATAGTAATAATAATAATAATAACAACAGCAAATCTTTAAGTCATGCTTACTCTGTGCCTGGTACTATTTTAAGCACCTTCAACATATTAACGCATGCAATCCTCACAACAACCCAGTGAGTTAGCTGATATCATTATCTCCATTTTACAAAGCGGTAAAATGAGACAAAATTTAAGGGATTGGTGGAAAGTTACACAGTCAATAATTGTCAGAAGCAGGACAAGAACCAGGTAATATGACTCCAAAATTCTGTCTCTTGTCCAGGACCAGAGAATACTTTAAGGACCTTGAAACTGACCTCATCTCCAAGCAGAGCAAAAAATGTAACGGCTCCCTTTTCAAGGCTTGTCTAGTAACCCATGCGTCCCGTCTCCAAATGCCCTAAGGGACCAACCCGAACATCTGGAAACAGCCCCAAACAAGAGGTGCCCGCAGTGAACCCTACGCGGGGACCCCCGACACCACTGCGTTAGGCCCCAGAGCGCCCTTCAGTCCCCACGGCCTCTGCCAGGGGTCTCGCTCCTCGGGAGACGAGGCTGTGAGGGAGGGGTTTCTCGCCACACACACCTCTGCAAGCACACTGCTACCCGGGGACAAAAGAACTGCAGGGCCGACCGGAGGAGAGCCACGGGGGCCGACCTAAGCCCACCCCGTCAGGTGGGCGCCTAGTGGGCGTCCCCCACTCACCCCATACTCACAGTGTCCGAAACTAGCAAACCACCCGCAGGGCGGGGCTCAGAAGCCACTTCCGGGCCTCTCTAGCCGCCTCCCTGACGGACGCTCTGTCGTTTGCTAGCGCCCCACCCGTCCCCTCCCTCCTCTCCTGTTATTAAAGAGACTTTCCAAGAATAATGTTTGCAGCTACAGCGAAAGGAGAAAAGCAAGTGCAGGACTCTGTCTATAGTTGGCTATATTTGCGAATAAAAGAGAGTAAGAATAATTTAAATTGGTTTACTTGCGTAGCTCAAAGTAACTCTGGAAAAATGCATAAGAAAACGAGTAACAGTGGTTACTGCTGGAAATAGGGGCGGCAAGGTTCCCCCACCCCCCCTTTAAAGCTGGTGCACAAAACGACAAGGAGACTCGGAAATCAGTGGAGCGAAGCGGCTTTTTCAATGACGCTCTTGCAAGAACGGGTGTTTTTTCTTAAATGAGCAGGCACACTGAAGCAGTTACGGCACTATTTCCTGCTTACCTGTGAGAGGTGAACTGTTAGAAACTGGGTGAAAAGGGGAACAAGAGGAAGAGTGAGAGGAAGAGTGTGAGGTACGCGTTTTAAATACGCTTTTAAATTTAGAGCCGATTACATTACCTAATTAAAACATTAATTATAAATACATGACGTTTTAAAGGATCGCGCTGAAGTGGAGGGGAGGAGGGAGGGAATAACAAAAAATAAAGAAACGGAGAGGAAAGAAGGGAAGAAAGAGAAGGAGGGGAGGAAGGGAGGCAAAAAAGAAAAAGAAAGAAGGAAGAAGGAAGGAAGAAAAGGAGGGAGGGGGAAAAGGAAAGGAGAGGGAAAGGGAAGGAAAAGAAGAGTGAGTTACATAGAAAATCCAAGATAATCTAACCCAAATTATGATGATTAATAAGAGAGTTTAGCAAGGTTGCCAAATTTTTAAAAAATGATACAATCACATTTCCCATCACCAGCACAAGTTAGAAAATGTAATTTTTAAAAGACAGTTATCAAGAGAGCAAAGAAATACAAAAGATACCTTAGTGGAAACACTATCAATCTTTACTCATTAAGGATAAATAACTGAAATACATACCATATCTGTGTATATGTGAACTCAACATCATAAAGATATTATTTCTTCCTAAATTAATACACACATCCAATGCAAAGTCAACCAAAAACCCAATAGTACACTCAGTGGAACTCAACTAGTTGATTCTAAATGTCTGTGGAATAATAAAAGAGTGATGAAGATCCAAGGAATTTTTTAAGCAAATGAAGGAGGTTCAGAAACCTGCCCTAATAAAAAGATTTATTGTAAATATGTAGTAGTTAAGACAGTTATAGTATTGGCACAACTACAGACAAATAGACCAGTGAAACAGAATTGAGGACTGAGAAACAAGCATGTATGTGCAGATACATGGTATATGACAAAAGTTGCATTAAAAATCAGTAGGAGCCGGGCTCAGTGGCTCAGCCTGTAATCCCGCACCTTGGGAGGCTGAGGTGAGTGGATTGCCTGAGCCCGCGGGTTCGAGACCCGCCTGGGCAGGCGAGACCTCATCTCTACAATAAAATAAAAAAACTAGCCGGGCGTGGTAGCGCGCCTGTCCGGCTACTTGGAAGGCTGAGGCGGAAGGATCGCAGGAGCCCAGCAGGTCGAGGCTGCAGTGGCCGGGAGCGGCCACTGCACTCCAGTCTGGGCGACAGAGTGAGACTCCAACTCAAAAAACAAACAAACAAAAATCAGTAGGAAAAAAATGAGCTATTTGACAAATAGTACAATAATATTTGGATCTCTGAATGGAAAAATAAAATAAAATCGGGTTTCTATTTCACATGGTGCACAAAAAATCAATTCCAGTAAAGTTAAAAACTTTAAAGCAGAAAGCAAACTTTTGCATTAAAAAATTTTAAATTATTTCTTTATGAAATCACGTAAAGCAAGATTTCTTTTAAACTGCACGAACATACAAAAGGGGGAACCCACCAAAAACTGGATTTGTCTTTTTTTGGCTGGCAGCCCATTGTAGTACAGGCTTCCCCTGCTAGGTAAGGGTTCTAGGAAACCATTGCCATCAGTGAACCTGCTAGCATTGTTGTGAGAGGCTGCATTCGGCTTCAGTGAATTGTTTTTTGGAGATTCTTTCAACAATCTTTGTCCATTTCATGCTGAATGATTTATGAGCACATCTGTCCATACTGTGCTGAGTGCTCAGCAGTTTTTGACCAAAAGCAACCTGACCCCATGCCCCACCCTCCCTATTCAACTGATCTCTTCCTCTTTTTTTGTTTCTCTGGATGAAAAAAGTCCTCAAAGTGAAACATTTTGCCAGTGTGGAAGACGTGAATCAAAAAATGGCGGAAGCACTAAAAGGCATCAAAAATGAAGAGTTCAAAAACTGTTTGAGCAGTGAAAAAAGGTTTCTATAGATGTATTGCATCAAACAGAGAGTGCTTTGAAGGTGACTGAAGTTTAAACATGGACGAATAAATACACAATTTTTTATAAATAATTTCTGGATTTGGGGGGAGTCCCCCCTCATACAAACTATAAAGAAAAAATAAATTTGACCTCATTAAAAATTTAAAAAATTAAAAGAAAATTAAAAGATACCAGAAACTAGTGGAAAAGACGAAAGACTGGGAAAAGATATTTGCAATATATATAATCAACAAAATGTCAATATGCTGAATGTCTGCTGAACATTTACAGATAAATAAGAAAAAAGGCCAACAACTAAACAAAGAATATGCACAGGCAATTTCTAGAGGATAAATCTTGAATAATCAATAAACGTAAGCAAATATAGTTAGTTGACCCTTGAACAACACAGGTTTGAGCTACATGGGTTCACTTATATGCAGATATTTTTCTTTGTTTTTATTTTAAAGATGTGGGGTACAATTCAGGGTTAGGTATACAAGTGTTCATTAAGCAGGAATGCTTGCTGATGAGGTGTGCCCCTCCCCTGGCAGCTTCCCACTGCTGCCAATCTCTTTCTAACAGTATTATGATAATTGTTCAAGGTCCGCTTATGATCAAGAACATATGGTACCCTGTTCTTTATTTCTGTGATAGATCACCGAGTATGATAGACTCTAAATCCATCCAAGTTGCTGTGAAATCCATATGTTTGTCCTTCTTTATGACTGCAAAATAATCCATTGTGGATATGTACCACATTTTAAAAATTCAGTCCAGTTTCGATGGGTAGAATGGTTGCTTCCTGTTTTTGCTATCGTGAATAGGGCTGAAACAAACATGCATGTGCAGGTATTTTTTTGGTAGAATGACTGCTGGATTCCAGCTCCAGGAGAGAGTCAGGGCTTGAGACGGGGGAATTGGGAAGCAGTGAAAAAGAAAAGATGAAAACGACAGGATCCTTCTTCCTGGGGAGAGTTCAAGACTCTGCCAATTTTTATTAAATTCTTACAAGCTTATATAGTTTTTTTACTGAACCCTCTACCCACAAAATGTATCCCATGTTACACATTAAATGTTTACATCATGTTTTTTCCTTTGTTTATGGAGAAGTTGACCTTTACAAGTTTCATTTTGTTCCTTCCTGCTACCGGTTGTGTAACAAAATACCAGCTGCCAAGAATTTATCAGCCACGTCCTGTGACCTCTAGGCCAACTGAATCTCTTCCCTTCGCTATTCTATTTTTTTTCCTTTACTAATCTATTTTGTTAATTCTACCTTTATATATACTTTTAGCAGCAATATATTGACTTGTTTTTTTCTTTTATATAACCACCCTTATCTTACCCACTACGAATTCTTAATACTCTTAATTCTGATTGCCTTATCTATATTACTTGCTATTTTCTTATCACCTATTTTACATTTTATATTTCTAAACAAAACATGTCTAAATCTACACTTATATATGAAATTAATCTTACTTCTAATCCTAAATGTATTTAATTTTAAACCTACATTAAGTGTGTATAATTTTAAGTTTACCTTAAAACTTAATTATTTCCTATTCCTTCTATTACTTATATTTAACTAATACCTACATGTATAATAAACATTTATCTTTTAATTATAACTGCTATTTATTTAATTCTAATCCTTACTTTAATTTTAACCCTCTTTCTAATTAAACTATAATATTTCTTAAATCAAAAGGCATGTCTGTGACTTGTTTTTCCCGAAAACACCTGTTTTTGGAGATACAATCTGTCTCAGTTTTTCACTTCCTCATCAATCACAACTGTCAATGTTGTTACTTATAAAGGGTATGAGGAAGTACTTGTTTTTCCTTTTTTAGCTAAAAGTTGCAAAATTTCATGGGAAAGGGGGTAGTAAAAACATTCCCTTGTCCCTTCAGGGGGAATATTTTTGCTGTTGAGCCCTTTTTACGTTTCTATACGTAGGTTTACTGCTAATTCCACATCCTTGCACATTCTAGCTAATTGTTTTGTTTATCAAGGGAAGTGTTTTTCAAGCCTGAGCACACATTCCTTTAAGGCCAAAAGGAGCCCTTCATAGGATCCATGGGGCTCCGCCTCCATCATGGCCGCTTCCCACTGGGGCTCTGCTCCCAGCCAGCGTTTTTCCCGTTTTCGGGTAACCTCCATTTTGCCTCTTTAGGGGCTGTGGCTTCCGGCAAATGACTTCAATTCCTCTGGGTATATTCCCAATAGGGTGATTGCTAGGTCATGTGGAGGTCAGTCTCCAGTTCTTTCAGAAATCGCCACACTGTCTTCCAAAGAGGTT